ACGCCCTAACTTCCAGGTTGCTTTGATTTAGCTTATTAAATCCACTTAATTACCCAGGCCAGGTCTTAGAAATTATCATTGTCCAAACTGGGTAAGATCAGTTGAGTTGTAATTTCATGATCACCATCCATTGTTCATAATTTTTTAAAAAAAGGTTGTTCATGGTTTGTGTGCATTGCTGGCTAGGGCAGCATTTATTGCCCATCCCTATTTGCACAGATGACAGTTAAGTCAACCACGTTGCCATGGGATATTTTTTAAATTAAATTCACTTATGGGACGTGGACAATCACTAGCTGACCAGCATTTTATTGCCTCTCCCTTGTTGCCCTTGAGAAGGTTGTGATAAGCTACCTTCTTGAACTTCTGCAATCCACAATGCCCTGAGGGAGAGAATTCCAAGAGTCATATGTAAGCCAGACCACGTAAGGATGGCCGATTTCCTTCCCTAAAGGATTTTAGTGAATCAGATCTTTTCTTACAATAATCACAGTGATCACCATTAGGCTAGCGTTTTATTCCAGACTTCTTTAAACTGAATTCATATTTCACCATCTGTCATGGCCCCACATCACTAAACATTAATCCAGGGTTCTGGATTACCAGTGACATTACCCACCACATCACCATCTCCCTGTGAAATACTGGTTTCTCAGTTGGTAAGGCTTTCACCTTCCAAGTACCATACAGTCCCCATACACTTGGAGAAATATAGCCTAGCATAGAAAATGCTGTTGGCAGTGCCAACAAAAACACGCACTGACTGACAGGGAATGAAAGACAGTACTGTTGGCTTAGAAATCAATGATAATGCGGGTTTGGACCAGAAGACAGGAGTTTTACTGGCAGTGAGAGATGGGCAACAACACACTGCTCCCTTGTGAGAGCCTGTATGTCTGCTACGGGTTTCATTCCCCAATTACAGACAAACACCCTTTGCCAATAGGTTTCTCAGCACAATTTTCTTTTCAGATGGAGCTGCTGCTTGGGGTTGGGGTTAAAATATGAGCTTCTGTTCTCATGTCTGACCAAGTTAATTTACTGCTCTAGCAAGGTTGGAGACTGGCAATGAGAAGACTAACACAAGAAAGAATGAATATTCAGCTTGCAAAGAAAACAGTCACATTAATGCAAATCTTTACACAGCATATAAACAGAAAACCAATGCAAAACTGTATCATAATACTTTATGGGTACATTTATCAATTGGTTTTGCCAAATCTATCAAATACAGATTTAATCCTGCAGTTCAAGCAAGGTATTGTTACTGTGTGGAATAACCTACCCTGTAGAGCAGAGTGGGTGAAAGATGCATTTTGGTAAACAGGGCTACAGCAGGTTGTGACTTGAATTAGTATTTGAACTGTGTACCTTTAAGGTGTGGATTTATAGTAAAAACCTTAACTGTCCTATGTTTGAAAGGATATTTCTTCTCATTTATTATGATGTAATGACCCTGTCAAGTTCACATTTATTGCAATATCTACTTGTCCTGAAAAAGTGGTAATAAGTCTTATAGTGACAGTACTCTCTTGGTGGTTTCGTGTAGGAATTTCCAAAATTTTGATGATGTGATGAACTAATAGCAATACATATCCAAGTTGAAATAGAATGTGCATTAGAGATGAATTTGATGATGATGTTATCACGATACAGCTGTCTGGCCCTTCTGATAGAGGAGGTCATAGTGCTGAGGGTCATTGTTGAAATGGTGAGTTGCTGCATTGCATCTTAAAGTACATACTGCAGCCCGAGTGTGCCAATAATGGAAGGAATGGATCTCGAATCAATGGCAGGGTGCTGATCAAGCATAATGCATAGTCCTGGATTGTATCCAACTGTGTAATGAATATTGCATTCTTTACTTGAACTTTATAAGCTGTGGAAGACTTCAAGGAGTCAGATAAGTTTTATCACAGAGTACTAGCCTCTAGCCTACTTATAGTCACAATGTTAATATGACTTGTCCATTTAAACATCTATTCAGTGGTGACTCCACAGATGATGATGGGGATACTCAGGAAGATATCTTCATCATTCCTCTGACATCTAGCCCCATGTCCCTGCCTAAATTGAAGCTGTAAAAATGTTTCCAGCCAAAGGCTCCGCTGGAACTCAAACTGATGTCAATAGCAGGTTATTGTTAAATAGGACACACTTGATTAGGCTCACTGATGCCTCTTTCCATCATTATGCTGAAAATTTGGAAGAAGCTGATAGCACAGTAATGAGCCAGCTTAGCTCTGTTCTAGATTTGTTAGCAGGACATATCTGGGCAACATTACACGTTATTGGAGAGATACCAGCATTGAGTCCTATTGAAGTGACTTGGCAAGGAGGACCAATACTTCTGAGACACAAGTGCTCCACTGAAAATGCACACACAACTTTCTTCATGTCACATGACCAAACAAAATTGACTGGACACACTGTCCTTTAGGATGGTATGGATCTTGGAAGGAGGCCATGTGAAATTGGCCATTTGGCATGTAAACAAATAAACATTTCAGCCTCAATTCTGTCACTCATATGCAGGTACTGGCACAGCTGATAATGGGAATGTAATGGGAATGTAGCTACCTTCTCTCACTAGCTATTGTATTTGATATCCACTAACATTGTGATTGGGTATGGTAGCACTGCACTGTACTGACTAGATTGCAAAACTGCTTTAGAAAGAACTCAGCCAACAATATTAAAAGACTGTAGTTGTGTGTAAATGTGGTAGGTTACCTGTCCTGAAGGGCACTAATAAATCATCTGGGATTTTATGAACAGCTTTGATAATTATTTTAATTGTGATTACCAGCTGTATTCAGCTCAATTTTCCAATTTCCCTTCTGGGGAGTTCAATCCAGCACTTCAGTTTGCTGGCCCATTACCTGAACAATGGTTAGTTTGGCTGCCACATCCTACTTAATACACAGATGTTGTGCATCACGAATTCCTTGAATATACTGGAATAGACTACAGTGGGCGATCAGGAAATAATTTTCCAATATTTCCTTGAGATCATGGATGCTTTTTGCCTTCCTCGGTAAAATGGATCACCAGCAATTAGGAACAATAATGCATGAGATTGCACCATCCTGTGGCCAGAATGAGCATTGGTTGGACTTGATGGTCTTCCTTCAGCCTATTGGTCATGTGCAAGTTGAGGTGATGCCTGAAGCCAAAAGTCTGCTTTGGAAGTAAGAAACCCAAGGGTGCACTTCTGGCAAATAGAACCCAACTAGAAAACTGATGGCTGGTACTGCGATCAAACAAACCATTGGCATCCACAGAGATAAAAGGCTGAAATATCTAGTAATCAACTATAAAGCAGTTTAAGAGTGAAGAATATAATAATTTTGTATTTTCATGAAATCAAAGCAATTATCTGGGCAATAAAACAAATGAATTCCACTTTAATTGTCTCTCTGAAGTGCAAGTTGCTGATTGCAGTAGCTATCATCCTGAAGTACCTCATTGGTGAACTAATTTCTCGCAAAAACCTTTTTGTAAATTGGAGATTTTAAATAGGTGAACTGGAGATGCTGAAGTCACCTGAGCAAACAAAAATGTCCTGTCAAAACCAATTGTGGTTGACAAACGATGAATCATGATAAAAGCTATTGACTGAAGCATAAAAGGTACTGTTTAGATAACAAAGGGTCTTTTGTCGGTCTTTTCTTCCAGCAGGCCATAGTATCTGAGCCATTTCCTGTTAACAAAGCCTTAGGGGCAGCTCCTGGTAAATGGGCTGTCAGGCAACAGAAGGTTTACTTTGATAGTACCTGATGCCACTGGAAATATCTCAGCTGAATAATTTGGTCAACAAATCCATAAATTGTACCTAAAATGTAATCATAACTTGTATTTCTAAGACAACTTTAATAAAGTAAAATATTCCTAAACACTTCAGAGCATTAGAAAATTTATCACCAAGTCACACAGGTGACACAAACCTGGTCAAAGAGGTGGATTTTCTGGAGCATTTTAAAGGAGAACGGCAGTCAAAGATTAGGAAGGGAACTGCAGAGACACAGCAGCCAATGGAAATCAGGGATGCCCAGGAGCCAAGAGTCAAGAGTTGGAGGAAGACACCTCTGGAGCACGTCAATTGGCATGCTCTTTAGGAAATAGCAAGACACCCATTGGAAAAATAAAGGGAAGTTTGACCACTGATTGATGTAAAAGTTCAATCACAAAAATGAAATGCTTTTAACCCACAGCAAAATCTGAATCTTCCATAGCAACATGAAATAAAAGAGAAACCGGCTAACAGTCACATTAGCATCAAAATGTCAAGGCTGATTTTGAGCAAGGACAAATGCCAAACAGGAAATATGGATGAACCATTTTCTACTGGGAAAGTATAGGACGCACTACATTCAAAAGGGTAAGAAACAGTCAGACTTGGCACTTGGTTAAGCGTGAAAGGTGATTACAATACTATAAAGAAAATCAAAAGATGTTCATTCAAATGATTTTGTTCTTTCAAAGCCCCCAGTTTGATATTGAACTGAAATGATGCATATGGATGCTGAGAGAGTGCAAGAATTGCATGTTTGGGGCTTATTTACTTTGGAATGCCCTTACTTTTCCCTGGTCAGATTGAGGGTAAACTTGATTCCACATATATAAGTCCTGCAACATTTAACATTCCTAGAAAAAGGAATAGACAAGTGTTATAGGCAGTTAATTCTACAAACCTCATAACAGTAAAATTATGTCAGAGCATGGAAACAATGATGTCAAGATTTATGCATTCACTCAAATCTAGCTTCTTGACAGCTTCTAATTAAAGTAAACCTTGATTTCAGCATATACTTTACAACATTAAAATAGTATACAATGACATTAGGAATTTTGTTCAGCATTTTTCCTAATTCCATTACAAAAAAAATTGAAAGCAGCATTTCTTAATGAGCAAATGCATCACACAGACTCATTTACACCACCATCTTAGTATGGATCTAATATCATTAATTTATATGAACAAACAAAATGACACCTTTTAGGAACTTAAATAAACTTTATTACTAAAAAAATTGTAAGTACAAAATTGCTATTCATTTCAATAGAGATAGTAGGATGGTTTGAAACAAGCCACTTTCATATACATAAATTTAAGAAACCTTTAAGTCAATGAATTCACCTGGTTAAACTAGTGCTTGTATATGACAGTTGGAACATATGCTGTGAGTTTTATAATAAAATTATAAATAAATCTTAATTTATTTGACTTGTATTTACATGTTCAGTAATGGCCAAGCCCCAATAAAATAGCATTAAAAAGATACAAAATTATAAAAACAAGTTTATTAAAGTTAGTATTAACCACTAATAATACTTTTTCTGTTGTTCCATGCATACAAATGTCTTCATAATAATTGAATGTATCCCCACCATTACCCTCTCACTTCCAGCTGTTGCAATTGGCAGTGTCAATCTCAAAGGAGGCACAATTGGTGGAGGGGTGGAGTGTGGGGGGTTTTGTTTGAGGTGCAGTTGATCTCCTTGCCCCTCTCATATGGTGAATTACACCACTATCTCAAGACAATCAATGGCACTTGACTTTACAATGGAGGCAGAGGCCAAGTGTTAGTTGAGGCTGGAAATTCAAAATGAAATATTCCACCACCTGGGTGACTAGTTCCTTAAAAAATGTCAACTTACTGCATTTACTCATGACACTAATGTTTCAGAATGAAATGGTCCATCATATGATTGCAGGAGCTAAGAAATCTTTACAGTTTGAAAAACATAGTTCTGTACATTTAAGAAGACCCACATTAATCAACAAAAGCAAATAGAAACTATTTACTTATGTATTCATGAAACTAATGGTGCGCTTCAATTATTTATGGGACCACAGCACTATCTTTGCATTAAAATTAAATACAAATAGTTTTACAATTTATACAATGAATGTGACAGTCAGTGTTTCAATATTTACACGTAAATGAAATAACAAGTGTACATATTTTCGAAACATCTTTAAAAGGCCATTAACATTTCAATTGGTACTGAGATAAATGGACCAGGAACAAACCCAACGAATCCCTAATACATGCTAATTTTCTAACCTAACTAGAACAGCAGCAGGTCAATCACTACAATGTATCTCAATGCTAGAGTGAGGCATCTAGCTAGAAAGTCACTCCTGATACCCAGAGTCCACATGTAATATGGATATATGAATATCAAGTGGAGAAGGAACCAGGCTTGCTTAACATGCTGCTGCCTGTCTGGCCGACACAATATTCTTTTGACCCAACATTTTTTTGACTACAGAGTCTAGAATGAGAATGTGGATGCTCAGTTGTTGTATATATTCAAGACTGAAATGAATTTTGAACATTAAAAGAACCAAGGGATAAGGTGGGACAGTGGACTTCGTGTAGACAATTAGCCATGATCTTACTGAATGGCAGAGCAGGCCTCTAGCAGCTTGATAGCTTAATTTCAATCCTATATTTGCATGTAAAACCATGCCACAATTCACAACTTTAATTTGAGAGATGTGGGCATACCTGGCACTTATTGTCCATCTCTAAGTGCCCTTGAGCATGCCACTTTGAGGAGACTTAGAAACAAAAAGTAGAGGGTTAGTAATTATACCACCTTGTAAACCTTACCCATGGATCATACACATTTTCAATTTAATGTTAATGGCAAGCATCCATAGAAATTTTGTATTCAAGTATGTTGATAATGTCTTCTTTTTTGGTGTTTATTTCATTAGCCTATATGATCAACAGCTCAAATGTTCTGTCTTTCTGAATCAGTCTTTCCTCAACAGCCTTTCAATAATTTATCAGAAAAGGATTCATTTTGCAATGTTTATGTTTCAGTAATAAAATCCAGGGGCTTACAGTGATCATGCTTTAAAAAAAGAAAACCTTAAAAAGTAAAGCAAAGCTGTTCAGGGAACAATGCTGCTGATATCTAGAATCACAAAATCCCTACAGTATGGAAGCAGGCCATTTGGCCCATCTAATCCACACCAACCCTTCAAAGAGCCAACCCACCTAGACCCACCCCATCCCTGTAACCCTACATATCCAATGGTTAATCCACCTCACCTGCACATCCCTGGCCACTATGGGCAATTTAGCATGGCCAATCTACCCAACTTGCACATCTGCGGACTGTGGAAGGAAACTGGAGCACCCAAAGAATTCCGCGCAGACATGGGGAGAATGTGCAAACTCCACACAGACAGTCACCGGAGGCTGGAATTGAACCCGGGTTCCCTGGCGCTGAGAGGCAGCAGTGCTAACTACTGAGCCCCTGTGCTGCCCCTTTAGTAATAAGATTCACATTCTCACTAGCTTTATAGATTAGTGGTAGCATTCAAAATAAATACAAATGTAGGAGATAAGGAACAGTACTTTATCAAATGAATTACCAACAATGCAGACTCATGCAGTAGAAAAACAAAAGAACAGGAGAATCCTTCTGCACGTTAATGGTTCACTGGAGTTTCTCTTTTCTTCCAAAGATATCACATATGCTTTGTAACTATGGTTAAAACCAAAAACTTTGAAAAGGTGGGCCAGTTTAATCAACTGATTTGATGAATACATGAAGATTGATTTCCTCCTAGTGGATTTCAACTGCTCAATTTATCAGATTATGTAAACAAGATAAAAAATGCATTTACTACACTGTAAACAGGAAACTTCACAAAAATGTTATGATCTTGCTCAAAATCACCTTGAACAAGATTATTTTCTGTGTTTAATTTCAACACAGATACTCCTGGTAGTCTGATGAAGACTGGGATATTCACAAAAAAACAAAATATTTACAGTTTGAAATACCATAACTGTAGTTATAACTACACACAATAACAATTGTTCCAAGTATTTATTTGCAATTTTCATATCTGCATCCTAAAACACATCAGAATCTGGTCCATTGGTAAATATTAAGTGTAATTGTCATGGATACTGGCAGTTTAAGGTTCCTTTCATTGTAGTCTGAGGATCTTGTTACAGTATTCACTCCACTTTGCAATTTTCTGTCATTTTACCTTGTCACACAGGTGTATAATGTACTGAATTGATTTTCTCATTTTAGAGCGAACAACTATCCTGCGAAAACATGATTATATCATAATTATTCAGTCAGAAAAGATTTAAGTATAGATCATAGAATGTCCAAATTTATAATTCACTGAACAAAGCAACCAGATTTAAAAAATGCCAAAGTTCTTAATCAAGACATGCTATTTTTCTGTAATTAATCTTGACTGTAACCCCTGTTATCTCTTCTTTTAAAAATAAATGTAACGAAATAATATTAAAGTCATCACAGTGTGTCCTCGCTTTCCCCACTCAACTAAGTTTCCCATACAACAACTGTGCTGAGGGTGTGTGCAATGTACAAATATGCAAGTTAGGAGCACCAGTAAGCCATGTGGCCCCTTGAACCTTCTCCGCCATTCAATAAGGCCATGGTTGATCTGATTGTAACCTCAAATCCACATCACCACCTCCCTTGGCTGTCTACCTATGCCTTTAAACTATTCTAAGGCTCTACTCCCACTGCCTTTTGAGGAAGAAAATTCCTTCATCTTTTTAGCTTCATCTCTTAAATGGGCAATCCTTTATTTTTGAAACAGTGACACATAGTTTCAGATTCTCCACATCCACTCTTGTCCACATCATCGGAATCTTATTTGTTTCAATCAAGTCATCTTTTACTTTTCTAAACTTCAGCAGTTACAAGCCAACCTTGTCCAACCTTTCCTTACAAGACAATGCACTCATTCCTGGTATTAGCCTAGTTAATCTTCCAACTGCTTCCAATACATTTCCAGTCTACCTTAAATAAGGAGACTCTCAGCAATGCCCTATATAACTGAGGCATTACCTCCCTACTTTGGTATTCAATTCCCCTTGCAATGATAACCTTCTAATTACCTGCTCACATGCAGATTCCTCTGGAGTGAAATGTGGATTTCATTCCATGATGGACTTTATTCTTTACAAGCCTCACATACAGAACTTGTTAAATGCTTTTCTCAGAATTAAACTCTAAGCCAATAGATTGTTCCTCTGCCAACGTAACTAACTTAATGAAGTCTAACATATTTGTGAATTGCAACAAGTGACTTCTAAGTATTTTGAATTAACTTGTTGTGTCACATTTCTGGCATTGGTGGAGCTTGAAACCAGATCTGCTGGTTCAGGAGTAGCAACACTACCACTGTAGCACAAGATACAAACTGACAAGTGACTACTAAAGTCTGATACTGATTACTGCTTTGGAATTTGTGCTTAATAAGTTGACAATGGTAAATTGATCCAAATTAGCTGCTATGCTAGCATGAAAAGACCACTGTCATTTTCCAATTAACAAAAACATACTAATAGCTGCTGACCATATATTATGCCAAATCTGCAACAAATATTTTAAATGGAATGCTGATGTTTTCCTTAAAAATAATTATGAATTGTAATAATGACACTTATTGAATGATTGAACTTCCAATACAAGACATATCAAAACTTATCTGCAACGTTCTAGTGTGTGAAAGCTCGAAAATGAGTGTAGCAGGAAATGTAATTGCTTTGCACCTTTACAATACCAAGAAACAGCAGGATCTGATAAATAAGATGTTGTTCCTTAATAAAAACTGATAGAACTGTGGATGTTGTAAATCAGAAACAAAAACAGAAATTACTGTAAAAGCTCAGCAGGTGTGGCAGCATCTGTGGAGAGAAATCCAAGTTAACATTTCGGGTTGAATGACCCTTCCTCAGAACCCAGAGTACCGATCAGAGGAAGGGTCACTTGACCCAAAATGTTAACTCTGATTTCTCTCAAAGATATTGCCAGAACTGCTGAGATTTTCCAGCAATTTCTGTTTTTGTTGTGTTGTTCCTTGCTTTCCATTTTGGGAATCACATAATGGGAAAATAATGGCAGTGAAAGGGTCTTTAAAAGAACAGCATCTTGAGACTGATACTATTGTAAAACAATTAAATTCATGATCTGGATTATTCAGATGGTAGGGGTGCCTACACTGCCATCTGCTGAGTCAACTAGGGACAGCATCACTACTGATACTAGCTGTCTCACAACCACTTAACATTCAAAGGAGAGCAAATTGGTTGGAGGCATGATTTCTGCCCGTCGCTTAGAAGAAAGCTCCAACTCAGAGGACCAATAGAAAATCAATCAGTCTGGCTGGCAGCTCTGCAGTACCAGCAGTAGCACAGGCCTTAGTAGGCACTACTGGGAGTACAATAAGTCACCAGAGTCTAAGTCCTGGCGTTGAGGAACAGGTAAGAGTTGAAGTCTTAGAGCAAAGAGGGAGAGGTAAGACCAACAAATTAATGTTCACAGGATGAAAGAAATCCACCCTTCACATTATGAGAGGAAATAAATAGCTCTGGTTGATAAATTGTTGCCATGCTGTAAATTACAATTAAAAATCCTACTGAGTAATTTGTGGGTTAGCACCAGAACAATAGGAGCTCAGTTTATCATAAAATCTATTTGACTCAACAAGATTCCACAAGAAAGGAAATCTGCCACCCACCTGGCCATAATATAACTGGTTGACTCTAAATGCTTTGTGCAAGCTATTCAGTTGCCAATGCAACTAGGATTGGACAATAAATGTTGCTGTCTATTTCTCTCCAGCAATTTGCGATAGTTACAACCCCGAAAAAAAAACCTGAAGCTCAAATGGAATTTGAGCATTGAACAGCTGCCTAAAGTTAGTTACTATTCTTCACAACATATGACCTCAATTCTTTTCTTCTAGTGGAAGATGGGAAATGAATATCCATTGATTTTGCTGTAAATTTAAAACTTTTTTCTCTTTGTGCTCCCAGTGAAAAATAATGGAGGTTTAGAACTTGTAGTACCATTTAAATTGCTTTGTTTGATTACAAGTCTCCCAGTTGTGCTTTAAGTGGTTTCTTGTTCAATGATTACAAAACAGCTTACTATTCCTACAAATCCTCATCTAGCTAAAGCATTACATCAATACATTTTAAATCGTAGAAACCATTTATTATTGTATACCACCTCGGTTTAGAAAAACAGATTTGCACATTGAATGAAAATAGACAAAGAAGCAAAAATGCAAAAGTATTTTCATTTATCAAATGCAATCTTCCCAAGGTACAATAAAAAAGTAAGACGAATAGCAGCTTACAAAGAGTTACTCAACAGGTTTTGCATAGTGAGTGACAAGACAAAATATAAGAAGAAAATTAGGTCAATGTGGTTCTAGGTTGCTATTTCCTACCTTCAAACAACACAGTCTATTGTATTATAATTACAATTATATTGTAAAGGTAAAGTGACCATGCTCACAGAGGACAATAGGGTAAGCACTCTCAATAGAGAGGTTACTGATGGTGACTTTAACCTGACCACACCTCAGGTGAGGGGCAAAATTGAGAAAGTGGGACCTTCATGGTGACCTCAGCTAGTATGGGAATTGGACCAGTTTCACTGGCATCACTCTAGTATGCAAACCAGCTATTCAGCCAACTGAGCTAACTGACCAAGTAAACAAAACAGTCACACTTAACATTGTGCAGGAGGGCCGCATTTTCAAAACTTTTCAGTCGCACCCATCAAGACAAATGACAAATTTCAAACAATTTACATTGCAGGAGAAAATGGTGCTAATTGGTGGGAAAGTGGATTTTCGCCATGGCAATGCCTCAGCTAATGGGAAACTACTGGTGGCCCCAGCACTCGAGTAACATGAAAGATGCAAAATTCCCTTAGTTTGAGGACAATGAATCTTTGTATCTGAATATATGTTGATGCTTGTAAATGTAAATGAACCATGTTACAGGCTCAACTGATTGTCTGAATTTGGTTGTTTGTGTAGCCACTGGCACACTCAGGATTGTTCATCTTTGCTGCACTAAAACAGAATCACATCTAACAGTTAATATTTTGATTTTGGGTTTTGCAAGTCAGCACTCTGTATGTAATGAGCAACCAAAGGAACAGATTATTTAATTCAAATTAGCCAACCACTGGGGTGACAGAAGTTACAAGTTTCTGTTTTCAGTAATATTCAAACAGTTATTTGATTGTTCATATTTGAGTAGTTTGGGTATTTACTCCATCACTGTTCACATTCTCTATTTACCATTTCACCCTTAGCATAAACTCCTGGAAATCACCATATTTTCCTCAATCAAGGACTCTGAGTTTTCTAATCTGTGAATACCTCCAAAAAGAGAGAGTTGGGGGAAATATATATGTCAGTCAATTCTAGGATCTAAGCCATAAAACACAGGAAGGATGTAAGAAAAGTGGGATCTTGCTTTCCGTGAATGTGCAGCTTTGAGCAATTCTTAAGAATGGTGAAAAACCTAGTTATAGTTGGCAGAAGAATGGTGATGGCATCTCTGTTATATTACAAAGTGGTCCCTGAAAGGTTGGTGCAAGTCATAAATGGCTTCAGAGGTTCTCTTCATGTCAGGATTGGCACAATAGCTGAATTCACAAAGCTGAACTGCTTTGTCAATGTACACACAAGCACTGCAGCTTTGCTCAAGTTTTAAAATGAAAATAAATGCAAGTAATCTAGAGTTCAATATTTTGCATTCCTTCAAATAGGCACAGTCAGGAAATATAAAAATACTTCTAAAAGTTAAATTGAGATATTTCATATTTGTGTACATTATTATGGCAGAGATGTAGCTGAAGGTCTTCCAACATATCAAATGACTGAAGGCGCAAATATTTACCTCCAGATTCTATTTCTTTTCCAAGTTGATGATGAAACAACAGGGTAAGTTCAAATCTTTATCAACAGCCACTTTCTCCATTGTCTGACACATTGCTAGTCTAGGAAAAGGTGCATTGCAAATTTGCAATCTTTCTGGGATGGTTTTGATCTCTGACCAGGGAAACAGAAGTGGTGAGAACTTGACAGCCTGATACAAGGTAATTCCTCGCCATCCAAGCACACTGTGACATCTGACTGATCTTGCAATTCCACAGGAGGAAATGCACTCAAGATCCAATTTATAGCTAAAATCAGATCCAAGAAAGGGGATGGATTGCAATATGTTTTACAAATACATATAAACACATATCATATGTTAACTTTTACATTGCAAATCTCAAACTGTGATATAAATTTAGAGGATAGACTGACGAGAAATCAAACAGTGGGATGCTTTTATGATTTCTGCAGGTTATGTTCTAATGGCTGTGACAGCATGTTATTTTTGATTGAGAAGTATGGCTTATGTGGCTTATACCAGGTAGGCTTCTCCACATATTATTTTCCTCACCTTCTAAATACAGAAATTATTTTGTGCAACCTCACTTACCCTTGCGTTATTATTGCTGCTAGCACAGGATGATAAGCCAAGAGGAAGTTGAGTGCTGCGCTCCAGGCTAGCAACCATCTGTCGGGATTCAGCCAGCAGACGTTGCAGTTTAGTTGTTGGTGAACAGCCATCTCGGTAAGTCTGGAGAATTTGGATGAACCATATTAACTTGCATTAACACAAAGGCTCATTATTTAGTAGTTCTTGTTTCCAAGAAATACTATGTACAATGAATAAATATTAACTAGTGACAACTGATACTGCTCACTGTAACAAAAATATGCCCATTTGAGCTTGTTAACTCGGCAAGTTGCAACAGTTATGCTTCTGAAATTCAAGAATTCCAAAACACCTAGGACGTCCCTCACCCCACCTTCTCATTTAACAAAGTTAGATAAGTAGCACTTCCAGAAGCCATTTTTCAGAGGTATTCTATTAGCATCTAATATGTGTAATTCCAAGTCAAACACAACAGGGTGCAGAGCCTTTATATAAATAGGCTACACGTGAAATGTTACATTATCTGTTCTCTCCACGGTTTCTGCCTGACCTGGGTAAGCATTTCCAGCATTTTTGATTTCATATATTTAACAATTTGCTTTGCTTACTAAATGATTCTTGTTAATTGCATTCATTGTTGTTTATTAAAAAATTAGGATGTATTAGTTTGCAGATACTTTCCATCAAGACTTTTTAAGTTTGCTATTGGCTTGTCTAATTAATTATGTGGTGTACTTTAAAAATGATCTACATTAATAAGTCTTTATGAAAGGATACCAATCTGGCAAAAGTCCTTACCAATAGTTTGATTTTCTACTGATAAATACTTAACAGGTTGTAAAAACTTACATTATTAGAAGACCCCCTTTCATTGTCCTCATTAGTGTTCAGCCTCACCGGCGAAACAGAGTCATTCACAGATAGGTCACCATGCATGCTGCTCTTTCCCCTTGACCTTTCTCTGACTGGTGAAGAATTCACAGAACGTGGTGGTGAATCCAGACTAAATGTGTTCAATTCCAGTCTTTCCTCACTGTTAATGGTTTAGAAGAATAAAATGAAAAGCTGATATCTTTAAATTTATCTTTCAAAATTACCAAATTTTATCCACTTCCCACACTCCAAATCATAAAATTCATTGACATGAAAAGGAATGCAAGGTGAAAACGGATAGAAAAGTCCATAAAAACCAAATTATTCTTGGTCAGGTCCTTTGGCTAATTTCTAAAGGTGCACTGGCTTCAAATGTTTCTATATCTTCAACTTTCCCTTATTATGTGCAAATAATAGTGACAAATCATGAAGTACAACCCTACTAAAGATAAGCAGTAGCACTTGAATACCTAATACTCATTCTTGACTTATGATTTAAGGCTGCAATAATAGGCATTTGAGACATAGAGACTTTCAAACTAAACTTTTCCTCACCCGATACCTCCCAAATGTACTTAGCAAAAGAAATTATATATTTCAAATATAGAACTTAAACTCTCACCCTTCAAATTTGGAGGCAAGACTGATATTGCTGATCTTAGTTTGACACCTTTATAAAGTAAAACTGAGACTTCAAATCATTCCTACAAATCAACATTTTCCAATCCAATTGTCCAGTGAATGAAGCAGTGCAAATACAGGTACCTCCCATTAGTGTAGGACACATATTGCACCAAACCCATACAGGTATACAACATTAAGTCTGGAAATTTCTCCTTCTGGTGTAGTTCAGAACGATAGAGGTTTTTCCAAAATTATAAATTAAATTCATCCCACATTGCTGTGGTATCAATGGCTGCCCCTTTAATCCTTGTAACCTTTTTTAAAAAAAAAGACATAATCAGACCTCTTTTTTCCCATACTAGTAGGACTGTCTAACCCATGTGAGGATCCTGAACCATCATTTAGGTACAGCCACCACAAATCCTTTACATCAACGGCCGGCTGATAAATTTTCATCCAATCTTGTTCTGAGTTTGATGGCTCCTGGTTGGTTTCATTCCTTGTATGAGGCCGAATCATTTCATCATTAGTTTTACGTTCATTCGGTTCATTACAATACTTGTCCTCCGTTTTATGATTCTCTGAAGTCTTTGTTCCTTCTTTGGTCGATACAATAGAAGTTGCACTTGTCTTTGAACAAAGTGTGTAATGATTATCTACTGAACTGGTAGTTAAATTGCCTTTGCAAGAACTGCTGCAGCGAGGACTATGATGATCAATGTTTGCATAATTTATATTATTATATTGCTCCATACACTCCGTGGGATTGACATCAGATGATCCTTCAAATCTCCACTTCTGCTTCTTTGACACTTGCTGTAAATTGTCATCTCTTGACTGAGGTGAAATGCAATCATTTGCTGTTGTATATTTGGAGCATTGTTTTGGTAGAACATATTTTGTAGGTTTTTTATTAGAATCATTAACATTAGTCTGTAGACTATAGCCCTTGAATGTCAGATTTCCATTGGCAGTCTGATCAAAATTAGTAGGAAAGAAAGTCTGAGCATTCACACATTCAGTTGAGGAATAATTTCTGGTAGTATTACCCACTTCTGAGAGCAACAAATGGCTTTGTTCTTTGGTATTATTTGGAATTAATTCACCGCTGAAACTTTGCATTGATTTAGTTGTTTCTTCTTTGTGTCGATTCATCACGCAATCTTTGCTTGCCTCCTTTTTCCATTTTCTAACCACATCATTTTTGCGTTCTTGTCCTTCTATTTCGTTCTGTCCATCCCTGCTGTGTGTCATTGAGTCCGAGAGAAGTCGACTCGAACTTAGAGAAGAAACAAAGAAGAAAAATGTTTAAATAGGATGAATGGCAAGAACTTGTGATTAAGTTTTCATAGCACCCTTGTTGAATTTTGCACAACTATTCAAAAGACCAATATAAAGATTGCTAAAATGAAGTGATGATGAAAGAATTAGTAAAACTAGTATAAAAATATTACAATAATTAGAATCACCCTCATTTGTGATTTTGCTGTTATGTTGGGACAAGATTTCAGTTGTAAATTCTGCATGACAATAATATAAGCTTTGGAACTGTTGTAAATGTTGAAACAGGATAACAGTACAATTCTGGCAATGTCTTGTCCCCAGATTTTCAATTTGTTCCTTTTAGTCCAATATGTAGAGTCTGGCACATGTAAACAGTAAATCAGTTCTCTACATTATAAAATAGTGTTCCAAATAAACATCATAAATAAGTATAAAACAGCATCTGTCACCATGTCCATTTTGCAATACATTTTATATAATCTAACATTAATAGTTTAAAGTACTGAAGCTAGTTACATCTTATTATTTTAATGATTGAATGAACAACTAACTTTGGAATCCCACAACCCATTAAAAAAAATTCGAATCGTTTCAATTTCCAATTGCTTCCGCCATTCTTTAATGCTGATCTATAGCTCAACTCCAACTTACACTTTTCTCCATATTTGTCTATCCTTAGCGAACGAAGATGTATTGATTTTGGTCTTAGAACATTTCTCAGGGTCAATCACAACCTTTTAGGGATAGAGTTCCAGATTTCTACCACCTTTTTCAAAGAGAACATGATTCCTAATTTTACTAATTAACCTAGTTCTAATTTTAAGGTATTTCCCCTTGTCCTGAATTCCCACATTAGATTAAATTAGTTTGTTCTATCATCTACCCATAATGCTGTATCATTTTAAATACCATGATTAGGTCACTTCCCATACTTTGAACATGGACCCCTCCATAAGAAATCTCCCGATTCCTACATAGCCAATCCATCCCCAGTTGTGACTCCCAGCAGATCAGTTATGATGGTATCAATCATTATTTAGGTGCAGATGTAAAGACCATTATAAACAGATTCTGGCATTTTTCTGCTCTCTAACTCACAAACAATTTCAAATTGCACTGTCCTAGTGCTTCCCACTAAATTATTTAAATATTGTTGAAATAATTCCTGTTTATGAAGTTACATTTGATGTAATTATGTGTCAATTTATTACATTATGCTTTAAAAAAATGGAAGGAGAGTGTGTGAAAGGAGAGGGTTTTTTTTCAAATAAACAGTATTAAGGGGTAAAATCAAAATTTTACACCTACCTAATTTCCAGAATTTTCTCCTCTTGCTTTTGGATCAACTCCTGAGAACTTTCAAGATTCAGATGCAGAAGCTGCAAGTCATGTTGTTGCTTTTCATTCACCTGATCACCAGATGTAGAAGTAGTACATGACAAATATAAAGGATTAGATAGAGACAAGTACATTAATTCTGAAGCAAACATCTGTGGAGGCTGATAAGATAATACATGTAGATTGAAGTAAGAAAATAATAATGGTTATTAATAGTTTATGTGGAATTATGGGTTTCAAAATGAAATTACACTTTCTATATATTATGCCTATGACACATAGATGCAGAACCACATTTTAATGAAGAATTGCAGAACTGTTTTAAATACTGCAATTAATCTGCTGAGAGATAAATAACTGCAGAATCTCTAAATACTCCACAAAAAGTGCATATTTTACCCCCATAGAGACATACTTTTTACCACATCTAAGAAAGCCAAAAGATTGGGGATCTTACTTTGTATACATAGGCACTACCAGATATTAAACAGCTGAAGCTGCAAACAAAAAACTGGTATGCTTCTTGTAACTTGCTCAGATAGTTCAGCCTACCTGTTAAATGCACTGGCTTGCTTGGTTTCTCCGGAGCAGAGTTGGAAGAATCCCTCCAGGTTAAACTAGCGAGCTCGCCTGGTTGATCAATCCTTTAACAGTGCTAATGAATACTGCAGAACCACCTGCTTACCCAGTTCTAAAGAACTTGTAATTTCAGAAGTACCAAAACACAAAAATATCTGGCTTATAGCTCTCCCTTCTTCCCAAAAGAATAGAGTCACGAGTGGGAGGCCAAACAACAAGTACAGGTTTAAGTTGTCAGGAGCAAGTATCTTCATGTTTTTGTCAGCAGCACAACACATTCTAAGACGTGTTTACTTTGCCACTATCCTCCTGATCCCAGCATCAGAACACACCAAACCCAAAACAGCTATTAATTGAGGCTTAGAGTTTCAACATTAGCTATTTAACTGTCTACCTCACAGTCATGGTACACCTGAGTGAAGTGACTGCTCTCACAACCAGACTTGGGATAATACCCACTCGCAGCAGTTACAAGATTCAGTCTCCTCTCACCTGCCTTCTGTGTACCAGATTCATTCATTATTAGAGGGAAAGCAAGAGAGAGTGAGCACAAGAGAATAAGCAATGAAAAGTAAAAAAAATTAAAGAGAACAAAATAGTAGACATTGTAGCCCAATTGTTTGGAAATTGTTGCATTCATCTTTGCGAAGCTAATGAGTAAATGGTAAAACAGACAAATATTCTTGATCAACTCTAAAACTAGCAACCCCATCCAATGTGATCCGCATGGGTACATAAATGCAGTGCTTTCATGGGAACGTTGCGACTGTTAGTAAAAAATCAAGGTCCATCTAGTTCGCCTCTACCATCCTGGTAGTGCCCTGAAACAATGATAATAGAGTTGTTGACTAATTATATTAAATTAATATAGATTAAATTGAAAATAGACCAGAAATAACGAGAATCCCCACCCAGTGGTGTAAAACATTAGAAATTCTAGGTCTAAAGTCACCACTATCTACCAAGAATTCTACACTTACCACACTATCTTTCAAGTTACTCATATATACTGTATTCTAAAATATTAGCTTCTGAAAGAAATTATCTGATTTGCATTGAAGTAATTCAATTCTGAGTGGCAAAACTGTCTTGTGTCCTGAAAATTATTGCCTTCCTACATCACTGGCAAAATTGAAAGGCTGCCAAGATGGAAAACAAAAAGTTAAAATGCTTCTAAAGCATTTGCTACCTATTGGGTTGAGTTTCACAGATCTCTTTTTATCGCCCTTTAAAATCCAATGCCATGCAAAGATCATATCATAAAATGTACTGTTATTTCTACCATATTAATTATCTGCCCAAAATGCTATGATGAGAATAATTCATAACAGCATTGTATGTCTTGCATACAGATCTGCATATTTATGTGGCTTTCAGCTGCAACCAATGCCTCCAAAAGATCAAGAACATGCACAGAAGAATTCCTCCATGTGAGAGTGCCTTGAAATTATAATCAGAAGAATGGTTCAATTACTTCATGGAGCATTTTTTGTTGCATAATGTGAGCTTACAAAGGGGAGGCAGCATCAGTAGGTCATGAGATCTGGAGGAGTCATGGAAATCTCTTGAGGAAAAAGGGTACAGACCCCAAACAAGCCTTTAATACCAATGAGATGTCATTATGGTGGAAGCAAATGCCAATACAAAAATACATCTCACAACAGTAAAGTGCTTCGAGCTTTTAGGGCTGTGACGGACCACTTGACCCTCAACGTGTGGCAACATATGGCAAAACTTGTGGTTCTGCCCCATTCGAACAACCCTCAAGCTTTAAGAGGGAAAACCAAGAACCTGTTGTCTTAAATTACAAATAGAAGAGCATGATTGACAGTGATTTTGGACCAGTTTCATAACTATATCATGAGGGAGGTTGAGAAATATCTGCAAGATAAAAGAATGGAGTTCAAGGTGATGCTGATTTTGGATAGTACTCCAGGCCTCCCAAAGAGTCTTGAATTTGAATTCCCTAATGACCATGCGGTGTTCCTTCCTCCCAAAACCACCACCTTCATTCTGTCTCTTGACCAAGGTGTGATCTCAATAATTAAGGCCTCTTATTATACAAAACGTACATTTGGACACATGCATCAGGTCATGGATACTGATTCACATACTAAAATGTTGGAAAGATCATAACATTGATGACTACACAGAAGTATCTCAGGGCACTTAACACTGTCCACATTCAACGCTTGCTGATGGAAGATATGACCAAAGGTTGTGAATGATTTCACAGGGTTTCTATTCGTATCAACAGAAATCTCCTGCAGTGTTAAATTGGCTGAAGAAGTTGGAAGAGAAAGATTTTCCAGTGTGGCAAATGAACAGATTGTGGAGTTACTTGAAAGAAAAGGAAAAGGCCAACAACAGAAGGTTTGGAAGAATCATTATGAAATTATCCTGAAGACGGGAAAAGTTGAAATCTCCATCTGGCTGCTCAAGTAGAAGGTGGATATTGCAAGAGTATCAAAAGTATTAATGGATTTATTGTTTAAATATGATCCATCTTTCAAGTGTAGCATTGAAGTAAAAAGGGATATAGAAAATGCTTTGATTCATGTTGAAATTTATAAGGATTTAAAGAAAAAGACATCCTACTGCGCCATAACAATGTTCTTTACGAAGGCCAAGCCAGCCACAGACCCAGCAGAAAAATCACAACCTCCAGCTCCAGCTGTTGTATCCTCTTTATCTTCACTCTCCCCATGCCTTTCTCAAGATTATTCTATTAAAGGTATGCATGTTTTTATGATAGTTATTTTTTTCATTATTTGCCAACTAATAGTGCACATTAATACTTTTAGAAAATTATAGAGTGTATTTATGTTATTTAAGGAGTGAATTGGAGACACAGAAGAAGGCTTTAGTGGTATCTACATTTTTAGTTATCCACAAGAAATCCAGGTCCTATTCCTCGCAACTAACAATTTGCATACAAGATTCTGAAATTAGGCAATGTGACTGGCTGTTTTCCTAATGCTTTAACTTTTCAGTTCTGGCACTTCAGAATCTACACAGCTTTTTTTATTTATTCATTCTTGGGATGTGCATGTCACTGTCTGCGAAATTTAATGCCCATCCCTTGTTGCCCTAGAGCTTACTACTGCAAATACTACCCTAAGTTTAAGGGTTGTTTTGGGCAAAAATAAAATGAAGTGTAGCCTTTTATGGTCCTATAGTTTTGCCTAAAGGAAATAACTTTGGTGTCCTTTCTTCAGGTCTTTTGGAAACGAATTCCATAGAAGGTGTGCCACATAACAGTATGTGCACACAAACAGTGTGTCCACAGCTTCAGTTTGAAGATTCTATACTTGTATTTACATGAATTACTATATACTACATCATAGCTCATGAAATTCTGAAAATACTTCACACACCAGCAAAACATGGTTCCACATGCTCCCTCCCTCCCTAACAGTATTGTGGGTGTACCTACATCCTAAGGACTGCAGCAATTCAAGGATACAGCTCACAATGTCCTTATCAAGAACAATTAGGAATGGGCAATAAATGCTGCCCACATTCCGTAAACAAGTAAAGCAAAAAAAAATGCACATGGACAATGATAAACCAACTAGTATGGAAATGTACCAGCTATCAACATGTACATGCAATAAAAATTTATATGCCCGTAGTTTGAATAACACAGTTTTCCCTTTCATAAAAATCTTAAAATATCCAATGTACAGTGGCATCAAGTAGTGACACTATTCTTCTGACTCTAAGACGTTCCTTATCTCAGTTACAGTATTTCCAGCAAGGTTTTGGGTGGATATGGGGAGTAAAGAGTAAAACTGAAGACAACTCTCACTCATCTGCTAGCTATCAAACCTGCGCAGTTGCAGGCAATGTGTGTCCAAAGAACAAAATTACAACGTTATTAAAATTGACTGGTATTACACATCAATGACATAGAAAAAACAAAATGATGTAGCTCAAAATACTATACATTATTGTCTATCCTAATGCAAATCAACTTTTCACAATGTAAACTATATTATGGACTATATTCACTGGAGTTAGGGCCATATTCACTGGAGGTTAGAAGAATGAGGGGCATCTCATACAAAATGCAAATAAACGCAGAAAGGATGTTCCTGATGACCAAGGAATCCAGAACCAGGAGTCATAGTCTAAGAATATGGGGTAGGCCATTTACAACTAAGAGTAGGAGAAATTTCTTTACGCAGAGAGTGAAGAGCCTGTGGCATTCTCTGCCACAGGAAGTGGTTGAGGCCAAAACAGTGAATGTTTTCAAAAACGAGATTGATGTAGTTCTTAGGGTACCATGTTGGATGATCAGCCATGATTATATTGAATGGCAGCACAGGCTCAAAGGGCCAAATAGAAACTAGGAGCAGGAGTGGGCTATGTTTTTAAAATAAGAAGTGCTATTGTGACTGGTGTAAGAGTCAGGATTTACACAATTTTAACTATATATATTAATTTATGTTAATTTATTATATATTAATTTATTCCCCATTGTTAATATTTTCCTGAAGTTCTTCACTCTTTGCAGAGGCACAATTACAGAAGCAATAGGTGCTCCTTACTGCCTTGCCCAATTGGCCATTATCCTACAGCAGGTATTGTCCACCTGAGGAAATGGAGCCTGGTTGCAGCATTTATGGACATGTAGGACATCTACAAATACACACATACTAATGTACTCTTTTGGTACGGTCTCTAGACAGCAATCAAGAACAGGAGATTTGGCTAATTTTGCCCTCCCTAATCTAATCAAATTGAGGCCAATTGTATTATCCAAAGTGACACACAGCTGAGATTACCTGACTTACTACTGAAAGCATCAATCCATTATTTAACAAAAGGAAGAAGGGAGGAACCAGGAAAATGCAGACCTGTCAGTTTAACATCAATCAAAATTATGCAGGGAGTTAGGAGGACATGTTGTGTTACCTTGGCTTGTAATCCCTTCATTTCAAAAGGTGATCTAATTGAGAAATGGTGGGGTGGAACACAATCCTAAAATTATAGAGATAGGCTATTTAGAAGTGAAATCGTAATGCAATGTTTCACACCAAGAACAGTGGAAATCTGTAATCTCCTCTTCAAAAGACTGTAGATATTGGGCTAAATGAAATTTTCCAGACAGATTTGTTAATTGTTATTAAGTAACAATATCAACAGACATGGGTTAAAGACGGGTGAACAGATTGGAGATACAAAACAGCCATGATTTAACTGAAGGTTGGAATGCCTTGAGGGGCTGAGTGGTCTACTCTTTTTTTACAATGTAATTTGGTATGGGGGTGATTCATTTTGGAAGCATCCTAATTTGCATGATTCAAACTTCACCTCAGTAAACATGCTGAGATATCAGTGACATAATGATTAATTTTATACATTATATTAGATTACTGAATATTCCAGAAACCATGAGAATCATTTATTTTTATGCTCAATATGACGGAATACAACTTTGTATTCTGATTGCTTCAAAACAACTTTATCCTTTGTTGGCATTAATGAATTTCAAAATGTCTGACCTGCCGAAGACCATGCAATTCAGTGTCTGCTCGCTCCTGTTTTGACCGTGCCAGTTCCAGTATCTGATCTTTCCTCTTCTCCCGTTCAACTGAAGTGGAATCACAAAACAGACATTGAATATTCATTTTAACCCAAATTTGCCATAGAAGTTTTTTTTTGGATTTTATATAATAACGGCTTGCAGTATTTTTGTAACTGGAGAGAAAAAATAATCAAAAATCAAAAATGCCAAACTGTCCATCTAATTACTTCAGAAGATATGTTCACGCATATGAACTTTTATGAAGTTCAAGAGTCTTCACAATCAAGCCTACCACAGCCGCAATCAGCCAAATTAGTAACAATCAGAGTTTGAGCTGAAATATATCACACATATCCCCAGTACTTCTTCAGAATTCTTCACTTACCTGCTAAATTGAGCTCATTTCCTAGGTATTGCCTTTCTTGTTTAAGACGAATAATTTCTTCTCTTTGTTCATTATTTTCCACAGTCTTTTCATCTAACTCATCTAAACAAAATTAAAAGGGAAAATCTCAGTTCGTGAGATTTATTCCCACTGCTGACACAACAGGAAAACATAATTTTTCTTCGTGTCCAAAGACAATTTTTTTTCCCACAGGTTCTAAGTAACAAAGAATCTTCCAGTGTGATGTAGTAACGTGATTCAACTTTGAAAACAATGCGATTCTCAATGTTGTGCAAGTTAAATACTTTTCTTACACTAAAGTATAAATACTTTTCAAACATTTTCAACTCAGAGATTGTCAGAATTGAATTTTGGGAATTTTTAAAAATAGACAATTTCCAATTTTTCCCATTTTGTCCGTCATCTCCCGACATTACCACCTCTATCTAAGTCATTATTCCTGATAGAGGATATATTAAGTTACATTTGGCTAGAGGGCCTCACAATTAAGTGCAAAATCGCTGTCAAACAAGCACATCAGATACAAGAATTCCACTTGATTGAAACCATCTGGAATTCTATGATCCAATGTTTAAAGGTATGTTTATCAAAGCAACTGAGGCAGCTGCTTGAAACAATACATTGGAACAGCACTGTCTCTAAAATCATATTTCAGCTGGTTGAACATTTAAATCCTAACAACCATCATAACAAAATTAACACCAAATATCCCAACTACACTTGTACGCTTATGTCACCATCCATGGCTCTGCGATACCATCTTGCTGCAAGGAATCATAATTCATACATTTCAGAATGAAGTTTAAAATTGTTAAACACAAGAGAAGCAGACATCTGATGAGAGAGGCTGGTAATGATTATTTTGTAAGTGTAGTTCAAATGGGCCTAGATGCTTATTCCACAGAAATTTAAAACTATAGTAAAGCAGTTCTGTTTTTTGCAACTTTAATTTGAAGCAATGAATTGGTGTGCAATATCAGTGAGCATCATAATTTTATAAACACCAAAAGAAGTACGGATGCTGGAAATCAGAAGCAAAACAAAAAAACAGCTTGAAGAGCTCAGCAGGTCTGGCAGCATCTGCAGAAAGAAATCACAGTTAACGTTTCGGGTTCAGCGACCCTTCTTCAGAACATAAAACCATTTCTGTTTTGGGTTTTGATCATAGTTTTATATTTCACCAAGTCCAGAGGATAATACTCCTTCCATTTCTAGCTTTTGCATCCCTATCATCACCAGGGCTTAAGCTGCTCTTTCTTTCCCCTCATTGGGGGTGGGTCAATTAGTCGGTTGGATGCAGAGTAACGCCAGAGTGGGTTCGACTCCCACACCGGCCGAGGTTACCATGAAGGACTCTTCTTCCCAAACTTCTCCGTCACCTGAGGCATGGTGATGCTCGGGTTAAACCACCACCAGTCGTCAGTCTCTGATGAGGGAGTCCACTAGCACTACAGCAAATTTACCTATACTTTCCACCCACATTGATCAGGTGTGCATGTGTTTGTTTCTCCCCACCTGGTGGACTAAACCCACTACAATTAACTATTCTGTTGATAATTGGTAGTTGACATCAAATCCCAGAGATTTAAGTTAACACATCAGTTTAGTGTTACAATATTAGAGATGCCACTCCAAGCGGTGAAAATGAAGAATTCCATCACATCTTTTCAAAGAAGGGACTTTTCCCCGGTTGTGTCCAGGCCAATACCTATTCCTGAATCAGCAGCTCTTTAAAACAAAGGCAGATGATCTCTTTCTAAAACTCTGCTGGGCATAATTGGGTTGCAGTGCTTCTTACTTTGCAACAGTCCTTGTATCTCAAAAGTATTTAATTAGCCTGAAAACTCTGGCACACCCTCAGCCCACGAAAAATTAATTGCTTAATTACCAGACAATTTTCACTTTTTCTTCCTTTCTAAATTTTTCTTTTCTCCCCAGTCTACAGGCATCTTTCCCTCTCTTTTTATGTGTCTCCCACCTCCCAATTCAAGTACCCCTTTTCTCACCAGTTCTTCTACCCACAACAAGCAAGTTCACGATGGATTCTCCAATAACTTTGCATGTCTCAGAGGAGGTTCATTCACCACCGTCAATATTGCTCTGACTTCTACAACATTCGTGAAATAAAGTTTGGTCATTTCAGGCAGACATCCGCATGCATGAACTGAAGTCATTGGCCGTGTCCATGGTTATCTAACAGTTTGGTTGAAGTCCTGCACGTCAGGCAGCATTAGAGGAGCAGGAAAGTCAATGTTTCAGATTTAAACCCTTCATCAATTCTTGCTTTCTCTTGGCTGAAGTCCTACACTGATCCTATCTTGTCTTGGGTCAGGCACAGCCAGCAGTTGCATAATCACTTTCCTTTGCTGGTTTCTTAATTACTTTTTGCTCCCCTTCTCTTTTTCTCTTTGTTCCTTTGTTTTCTCATTTCAACCTCCCTAAGTTTCACTTCCCACATACTCCTCTTCCACTTCTTTCTCTCTCTCCCTTCGTTAGTTTCCAAAGCAGTTATCCACACTGCCTCAGTATCTAATGAGCCATGTTGGTCAGTATGTGTGTGTGTGCGGATATTGAATCAGACTCAGGCGCTATCCAGAATCATGCTTGAAGAATGGCCATTTTCCAATGAACCAGTAAATGTAACAAGCAAATTGCGATTGTTCACAGTTTTTAAAAAAATATTCAATATTTCAAAAACAGTAACCCAGAGCTAACCTTTAAGCTTGCAGATTTCATGTCTTAGTTTCTTCGAATGTTGTTTGCAATCATGCACTTCTTTTCTGGTGTTGGTTTCATTTATCCTGGCTTCTCGTAGTGCACCCTCTAAGGTTTTAAACCTAGCTGTAAGATCCATGATGTGACTGGTGGCTTCAACCATATCTTTGTCCTAGACATAACGTAACAAACCCATAGTTATTGTGGTGTCAGACATCAAAACTAAAATTTGACATAGGCATATCTTCATACAGACTTCTCTATCCTCTAATATAGAGAGTGCAATTTCGATATAACAAATACGCCTGGGCTGGAGTCACAAACCACCAGTGAATGGATAGCAACGTCATGTATTTATACTGCTTTTACAAAGAAAATAGCCAAAATACTTGAACTATACTGAAAGAGAGACTATTACTGAATATATGACTGAATGTATGCCCCTTCTAGAAAGCATAAATAAGTATTTAAAACTAGGCTAACAAGTAATTTAAGACAAACAGTTGAGCTTGTAAAGTGTCTAATTTACACTTTCCAGGACTGATACACATTCACAGACAGGGAGCCACTCACTGTAAGCAAAAGGAATACACTGAAATAAACAAAACATTAATCACTGGAGAAACTCAGCAGGTCTGGCAGCATCTGTGGAGAGAAAGCAGAGTTAATGCTTGAGTCCAGTCACCTTTCTTCACAATTAGAAACATGTAAAGGTCGTGCTATGATACGGTGGTAATTATGCTGACGATGGTGTGAGGTGGGAAAGCAGTGACCAGATAGGTGAAGACAGAATCCAGACAGGGTCGAAGAAAAGGGGAAGGCAGACAAGGGGATTGTCAAGGAAGAAGAGAGGTTTTGCTGAAAGCAGCCCTTTCCATGACAGAGTTGTGAGGGTCAGGAATAGGCAAGGAAGGTGGTGTTCAAGCTCTGAAATTGTTAAACTCAACGTTGAGTCCTGAAGGCTACAAGGGTACCTAAGCGGAAGATGAAGTTCGGTTGATCAGCATTGACTTATCATCCTTTTCTTTCTGCAGTATAAATTGCTGCGAGTGTTTCAAATTTGGCATTCTAGTGCTTATCCTGTGTGCAAGACAAAGCATTTCAGCAGCATGTTTCTCAACATCATTCAAGTTCTGTTGCACCAATTGACCAAGGCACATGCTAAAACGGGATTGGATGCAAGACGTGGTGATTGTTGTATTCACTCGTTGTTTATGGTTAATTATCAAACAGGGTTTTATGTCAGACAGAGAAAGCACCAGTATTATAGTATAAATAGAAATGTTAGGATCAAAGAATATTTGCTAACAATTTACTAAGCATTTGCTCATGTTCTGGACCATAATTTTAATACCTTTAATTCCAACATTGTAGTGAGCTCCTGTTCACGTGCCTGTAACTGTCCCACCTGGGCAGAAAGCTCTAAATTGGAGGAATTGAGGGTTTTGTTCCTGTCCTGGTTGAAGTAAGCAGAACGCAACAATACAATTAAAAGGTCATTGATGAAACAGGAATGTTAATTTGATCTATAGTTTTATTACTGGCAGTCTTACCTCCAATTCTTCACAGTTATTAGTAGCTTCTGCTGCTTTTTCAGACATTTCCTTTAGCCGTTGCTGGGTACTGGTCAGTGTTTTTAGACAATCAGCTTGCTGAGATTCCAAAATCTTTTGTTGCGCGCCTAATGATCTAATGATCTCATTCCTGTTTCGTAGTTCATCTATTAAAACACAAAGTTGCCAACAATTTATGTATCACATATAGCAGGACTTAAAAAAAAACATTTATCCATTCTCCCTTGCACATTTCTAAACTGTAGAAAATGGTTCCTACTGAGCCAATAAAAATGTTGTTAATCCAGATGTGTATTGGAAAGAATAGTTTATAACAATTGCACTACACATCCTCAATCCAATTTCTCTTAAAAGCAGCAAACTCTGCTGGGTTGGTGATAAATGATATCACTGTACCTCCCCTGAGAAATGACCTAACAATCTGTGATTAATTAATCAGAATACATTATACACAAGAAAATTTTTTGGCAGGCATAAACTCAAAGTCTATGACCCCTGAAATGTTTAATTATGGGATTATTTCTCTTCTTTTCATGTTTGAAAGCACAAACTAACGCTGGACTACAAGGTCACATCATTAATTTTCTTTTGTACATTACTGATTTTTATTTGACACACTGCTGATCTAAAAATCTAGCACTGAACAAGCAGAAATTTCCTTCAAATAAATGTCAATAATGACTTCATCATTTCCACAAACTCTGTTTTCAAACCGCCAACACCATACCTCTCTCTTACACTGTGGCAGGACTAAACCATTCATAACTTATGGTCTGTGATTGACTCTGACATGAACTTCTATTGCATACCTACTCCATCACTAAGATTCCTTATTTCCACCTCATAACAGTGCCTGACTCCACCTCTCGGCTATTGAAATTGCTATACATCACCTGCCATCTTCCACACTTCCAAACTTAAACTCATCTAAACTTACAGTATCTGTATCCTCTCTTGCGCCAAGTACTTTCACGAATTGCCTCAATGCTCACTGAGCTATACTGGTTTCCAGTCCAGTATGTTATGAGCTTACAATTATTGTCTTTATTTTTAAATTCCTGTTTGAATTTGTCTCTCTTTTTGTAAGCTCCTCCAGACCCACAATGCTTGATATCTTCGCACTCCTCTATTTATGACCTCTTGCACTTGCTCAATTTTAATTGGTCCACCACTGGCAGCTATGCATTCAGCTTCCTGGACTCTAAACTCTGCAACTTCCTACTCATGTGTCCTCATGATCATCAGTGTCCATTTCTGTTTGAAACAGCTCAGTGATGCAGAATGTTTTACCTAAATTTAAAGCACTGTGTAATCAGAAGTTGTTGCTTTGCAATGGATCTGCTACTGTTAATGAAAAATGTGACTTAAAACATTTCTATTGGCAAAAAAATGATTCCAATAAAAGTAGTTTGCTAATTTATCCAGAAGAGAATTCAGTCATATAGCATGAAGCAAGGAAGTATTTCTTTCAGGACTAAAGTGAGAAACCATTGAAACTGAGGTTTTATGTGTTAGCCACCTGGACATGGTATAATTTTTTTCAAAACAATACTAACGTTCCAATTTAGCACATCTCTCTTCCAGGCTAAGTATCCTCAGTCGATCCTCCTCCCATGCCAGAAGTTGCTTTTGGTGTGCTGCCACCATTTCATTTAACTCTTTGTCCCGATCTTTCAGTTCTGCAACAAGCAGTTGTAACTCATTGCGCTGCTTCTGAATGGTGGCATTCTCCAAATCTGCATTTGCATTCTGGGACAAAGGTAACGATATGAGAAATTTTGTCCTAGGTTTGTTTGATTATCTTACTTCACAAACAGGATAACACTGATTTTGATAAACAGTTAAATAAATAATAATGGCAACAGTTTCAATAATGACAACTACCAACAAGGGCAGCTCTAGTTACCAATCCAGGAAGAATATTTGACATCTGAATCTTTTACTTCATCTTTACAACATGATTACTCTGATGGATATAAAATGTTGCATAGGTTACATCGGTTTAGAGAGTAAACTTAATAGAATTTGCAAAATTGGTAATAAGTTCCAAGGACAAAGTAAAGATTTAATTAACTTCTAAAATGCAATTCAGTTTTCTTTCCCATACGAGTACATTAGAAGTAATGACTGGAAAGCGTTTACAATATTTTAGAAATTGTCTTCTCACACAGGTCTTCATTCTACTTGGATAAAGTGAAGTGGAGCAAACCACAAATAGCTATTTTTCATTTAATATTTCCAGGTTCGATTCTGTTAATATAGGAAAAGGGGTGGATTATTTAGCCCCATAAGCCTTTCCTATCATTGGTTTACATAATGACTAATCTATACCTCAATTCCATTTGTCTCTGATCCATAAATTTCATATACATACCTAATTAGGATTTGTCAATCACAATCCAGAAAATTGCAAGTTTCACAATGCTACCACACTTTTGTGACAAAGTGTGTCCTGATTTCACTCCTAGTGCTGGTCTATTTATCATATCCACAAGAATATGGGTGTCTGTTAATTATCACTAAGATGTATCCCATCTGCACCGCTTTCTTTTTCCTGAGAAGCAGCTCCAGTATTTCAAACCCTTTCTTTTAAAAACAACCATTCAGCCACACATTTGGTTCTATCCCCGTCTGTTCCACTACAGAATCCTGGGAGTACTCCAGAGATTATTACCCTCAAGGTTTTGCTTCTTACTGTAGAATTTATTTCCTTCTATCCCTTTGTACAACTTCAAACTGACTCAAAACCAGGTCTTCAGGCTGCTCACGCCTATTCCAGAATTCAATCCACTATGCCCCAAACCCTGGCACATGAAAAGTTAATTATTATTGAGCATTCTGCAACAAGTCCTCCTCATCATAGAATTCCCCACAATGACACTCACCTATTTAACCACCTGTTTCATTTCCACCAGGATAATAATTTATCTGTCTTGTGCCATATAGTCATCCATGGGTTTCCTCCCATATGTCACATTTCTGATTGCATCACAGGTATCTAAATATCTAAGTAAACAGATTAAGTTCTGCTGATGATCTACACATACCTTTCACTTTCCGCCTGTCTGCTGATAACCACTCAGCCTTCCCTGGCAGCTTCTCTAACTCCTGGGAGGCAAGTAACGTTTGCTACATAAAACTGTCCCGTCTAAAAGTCAAGAGTTTTTTTTTCCTGTTAATTCATACCTCCCCTCCTATTAAAATCCTTGTCTTTTGTTCTTCCTCCCAGCTGTTTCCTTGCCTCTGCGCTTTCTTAAAAATGGTTACACCTTGAACTTCTTCCAGTTCTGACAAAAGACTATCTATTTCTCCACAGATGCCACCAGACTGCTGAGTGTTTCCAGCATTTCCACTTCATTCACAGCACTTTACTTTCATTTCATTGGTTTTATTGGTAAATTGATTTTCAGATTTTGATTGATTTTGGCTTAAAATTATTTGAATTACTTCCATCTTTGTGATTTTTACTTGAAAAACCAAATTTTGCAGGAGTTCAGCAAGTCAAGCCTGTTTGTACATGTTTAGATTATTACATTATTTGGTCTCAAAGTTTCTGGAACTGTGAGCTGATAATGACACAGCAAAAGCAACGGAGCATCTAGGACCTTGCTGAGCAACAGGACAAAGAATATATGACTTTAACCAATGACACTTAAGGATTGGGAAATATACCTAAAGAGCATGGAAGAGGATTGTGGATTAGAGTGGATTAAATTAATGTCAATTCAAGATTAGGAAGAGAAGTAAATGGGAGGAAAAGAAATTGTGGAATGAAAGAAAAAAAATAAAATTTGACACTGTTAAAATTAAACAATTCATAACTTGAAAGAAATGAGACTCTCCACAATTTTTGATTTTCCAGGCAATAGAGGCAGTCATCAACAATCACTGGTGACAGTAACAATTATTAAAAGGGTACTGATACTGTTAATTACTAGATTTAACTTTCTTGGGAAAGTTTAATTAACAATAAAATGTGCAAATGAAAATCACAGTGAGGTTAAGCACAAAATGACATCCTCACACAGCAAATAGTAGTGCAGGGCAAATCAGACATCAATTCATAGCAATTTGCAATTCACTGGTTATCTCTTCCACATCAAATGTTTATGGTCAGTCTGTGTATTCAGAGTAAAAAGTGTCATTCAGGAACTATTACTGAAAAATATGACGCAGTATTTTTTAAGTTTTTTAGCGAAAACCTGAAAGAGGTCAGGTGAGCATTTTTTAAAAAAGTAAATTTAATTCTTTCTGGCTCCTGTTGCCTCTTACTTGTTGGTAATGTATCACTTCGGGGGCGGATGGGAAACACAAGCCAATAATGGTCTACTGAATTAGTGCTATGAAAAAGGTAATATCCGATTTACCTACTAATAATTTTAAATTGTGGTGTTAAATTCTGCAAGTCCAAGTATGGGGATGAACTGGTGTTAAAGCTTAATTTTACAGCTCAATTTTGCCTACTTTATCAGAAAAATCCTAACTATGATTTAATCTCATTAGCACTTCACATATGCACTAGGTATTAAATCACATTTTTCTAATGAAGCTAAAACATAAGATTCAACAACAGTACCTTGTCTTTCTCCTAGGCATGCTACAGTCCCTCTGCTCCCTTAGCTTTAGTATTTTGATAGTAATGGATGTTTGCACTCTGGGCTGTCTATCAATGCCCCCAGATGTGGGGGCGATGGCCTAGTGGCATTATCGCTAGACAATTAATCCAAAGACCCAGGTAATGTTCTGGGGTCCTGGGTTTAAGTCCCACCATGGCAGACGGTAGAATTTGGATTTAATAAAACAAAAAAGAATTAAGAATCTAACGATGACCACAAAACTTGGGGAAAACCCATCTGGTTTATTCAGTAATGTCCTTTAGGGAAGGAAACTGTCATCCTTATCTGGTCTGGCCTATGTGTGACTCCAAACAGCAATGTAGTTGACTTTTAATGGCCTTCTAGGCAATTAGGGAAGGGTAATAAATGCTAATCAGCAATGCCCACATCCCAGGGAAGAAGAAAAAATGGGGAGTCAGTTCAGTGTTTAGTTTGGAAAAAGGTTTCTCATTATGTTCACTATTTTTTCCTTGTATTTTTGTTTAATTTCTGATACATCTGCATCTTTGCTATTTTTTTCTCATGTTTTTGGTTGATGTAAGGTATGCATCCAAAAGGTTAAATTATGCATTATTACATACTGGATCCTGTAGCTTATTTCTGGCGGTTTTAAATTTTATCATAATATCCTGAATACATAGGAATTCCCTTTCAATTTAATTTTAATTTAGAACTGGGTGATACCCAAGGGGTCACACTATATTGATGTCCAATATGACTGTGAAAAGGGAAACAGATATATTTTCTTACAGAATAAAATCCCAAATGAGCAGCACCACAGCAGGAAACCACAAAGGGGACTCAAGAAAAGAGCTGCCAATAGAAGCTGCTTGCCAAGGATAAGATAGGTTAAGGTCAGGTCATTTGACTCTCGAGCCACCTTAGACATCTGACAACATAAAGAAAACTATTTAATCATTATTTACCGTCTATTCTGATTTCCAGTAGAACCAAACTATCATTCAATATTACCCAATTACATTAGAAATTATTAAAGGACAAGACCCAGAGATAGGTGAAGGGAGTTTACCATTTCAGTATTTGAGTCCATTTCCAGTCACTAAATTTATCTGGGGTCCAGGAAAGCAGAAGGTCAAAGCTGTGGCCTTTAATTCTGGGGTATTTAGTCCAGTGGGGTATTCACATCAATAGGAAGAACAGTGGCAACTCCCAAATCCCACCTAGCCTATTGTCCTAGATAGGGAGTTGAAAATCAGACTTTGACCTGCTAACAATCTAACATATGATCTGTTGGATAAAAAAGATAGAAAGATTGGGTTTCCTCATCTGCCATCTGGAACAAAAAAGAGAAAAGAGAGGCTAGCTTAGCCCAAAGCCCAAATTACTCACATTTTTCGCAGAAGCATTCAGTATAGGAACTGGCTGAATAGCTTTTGTTGGACAGGTTTTATATCTTCCTGCATTTGTTGCAGCAAAATCTTGCATCTTCCCAAAGTTCATCTTTGAATCCCCTATAGATTTTGAACAGCTAACATTCTCTAGTGAAGGCTGAGAAGATAATCAAAAATCAAATGTTACTTTTATAAAATTAACAATTAGCACAGAAATTCCCTTTCATTTAAAATTTAAAGCATTAGAATGAAGCACAAATGGGTCAATGGTGGAATTAATAGACAGTGAGTGCTCCTGCTGGAATGTAGAATGGACAGTAAATTTAATTACAATGGACATTGTGTTATTTATTGGATTTGAGGTATTAATGTAAATGGAGATTTAAAAAGCAGACAAATAAAAAGTGCAAAGAGTTCAATGTTTATCTAAACTTTGTACACAACCAACTCCCAATCTCAGCAATGCTGCTGCTTAGAGATACAAGTACAAATCCCAAAGGAGGCAACCAAGAAAGTCATGGGATGTAGACACACAACCATTCTTAACAGTCTGGCCTTATGTGCACAAACGTTCCCAAGGGCCAAATAGCCTACTCCTGTTCCTATATTTTATGTTCCCACAGGCAAGTCTGAAGCCAGTCTGCAAGTGCAACTGGGAATTTGGCAACAGAAGGTCAGAATGAAAGTCTCATGAGGAGTTGTCCCTCACAGTTTTTAAGACGATGGGTTGAATGGAGTTCCACCACAGCGAAGGTGTCAGCGATCCACCACAGTGAAAGTGTCAAACAAAAATGTGGGTGTGGAGGTCAGCAGGAAAATCATGCAGATTCGATGAAACATGGATGGGAGAATTCAACTTTAATCTAGGACAGGCTGGGGCTGTGGAAATGGAATGATTCCTGTTCTCACCAATTTCTTATTCAACACTCACCCTGGCATTTTTAGCTAATCATTACCTTTCACCATGCTCTGGCTGTTAGGTTGCATGCAGTGCTTTACTGCCCAAGGACGCTGAAATCATTTCAGGGCACTACTGACATCAGGAGGTCATGATCTTTGCATTCAAAGCACACTTGACTAGAAAGTCGACCATAATAAAATGTCAGGAATGAAGGGTGGTCATGAGTCATTGAGTTGACATGGTCTAATCTTGATCCTTCTCACTCACCATGTAAGAGGAGAAATAAGGGCTGGGTGAGTGATTTAGAATCATGGCCACTGGATGGAAATCACTTAGGGATTTAGGAAAAATGCAGGTAAAGAAGCCTTCATCCACCAGCTGTTTCAAAGATGCTTAGCGTAGGTCAGTTGGCTTTCCAATCTTATGAGTAGTCAAATCCTCAAAAAGGAAATACGCAGCACATAAGTCTCTACAATTAAATGGTATGCTAATCACACTTTTGAAGTTTCTATTAATTTTCTTCCTTACTGATGTAAATGAGAATAACATTTCCTACCAAATGAGAACAGCATGCTGATTGGTGGAGGCATTGTCTAAGAGAATGTACAAGTAGCAACGAGTGGTGTTTGCAACTAACAGGATGCTGCTGTAAAACCAAAAAGATCTCCTGCCTATCACACAAAACAGTAATGTGGTGTATAATTTTCACTTCTCATGCGGCAGGCCACACTGCTTTCAGACTTCAACTGTTAAGACAAAAAGTGTGTCTATTGCAAATAACTGAAAAGACAAGGTATTGACTATACCCAACCAGCCCATGACTGCAAACCTCAAAACACGTCAATCATTACACATGATTCTGCAATTGGACTCTATTTGCTGAATAATTCTTTTTTAAACAATCTGTTCTTTCATGGGATGTGAGTATCACCGTCTAAGCCAACATTTATCGCCCTCCTTAATCATCCAGAAGTGACCATATTGCTTTCATCTAAAACCACTCAAGTTAACGATGACAAATTTCCTTCCCTAAAGAACATATGTGAAGCAGATGAGTTTCTTTGACAATTAAGTGATTACATGGTCACCATTGATTGATTGCTTTATTTATCGTCACATGTACTGAAATGCAGTGAAAAGCTTTGTTTACGAGTGGTAAAGGCAGCTCATAGTAAGCAAAGGATGTACAGATCAAAAAAGACATTGCACAGGGCATGTGCTAGGCAAGATCAATGTTAGCAAGATCAATCATTATTTGAGGCTTGAGAGTCCAATCATCAGTTTGATAACAGCTGGAAAGAAGCTATTCCTGAACCTGCTTGTGCATGTCTTCAGGCTTCTGTATCTTTTGCCTGATGGAAGAGGTTGTGGGAGATCATTACCGGGGTGCGAAGGGTCTTTGATGTTGGCAGCCTTTCCGTGGCAGCGAACTCTGTAAATGGAGTCCACAGATGGAAGGTTGGCTTCCACGATGGTATAGGCTGTGCACACCACCTTCTGTAGTCTCTTACAGTCCTGGGCAGAGCAGTTTCTGTACCAGGCCGTTAAGCACCCAGACAGTGTACTTTCATGGTGCATCTGTAGACATTGGTGAGGGACCTTATGGACATGCCAAATTTCCTTAGCCGCCTGAGGAAGAAAAGGCATTGTTGTGCCTTCTTGACTGTCACATCTGTGTGCGAAGTCCAGGACAGATTGTCGGTCGTCGTCACTCCTATGAACTTGATGTTTTTCACCCTCTCAACCTCAGTTCCATTGATGTAGAGGGGGTTGTGTTCTCCTTTCTTTCTGCAGTCAATGATCAGTTCTTTAATTTTGCTAAAGAACTTTACATTCCAGATTTTTACAGATTTCAAATTTCATTATCTGTTATGGGATTCAAACCTACGTCTGGTGAACATTACTAGTCCAGTCACATTATCACTGCACCACCTCCCTTGTGTGAATGCTAAGAACTACACTGACAACTAATTTGAGCTCGTTCGGTAGCTATTGCACATTCTAAAAGCCATGTAAATAGAAAGGACCTTGTTCACTGTAGAAAGTAAGAACAAGTACACACTTTGCACCAGTTTCAAAATAGGTGTCAGCCATTCTCTGGTTCATTCCTCAAGACAATGCCTTCACCAATTTAATTTAAGCAAAGCCTGGAAGTTAACTGTCAATTATCATTTAACTGGTGTTTTCTTCCTTACCTTAGATTTTGGAGAACTATGCCACTGTTCAAGGTGTGTTTCTAAAAGACAGTAAAATCACAATCCATTAACTCTAGCAGGAATCACTTCTTGGTAAAATCTACTGTGATAACATAAACTTCAGAGCTTTAATAACTGTTCATGGATTGAAAGAAGCAGCAATAACCGTTTGGAATAAACTGTTAAGGGACAAGGCCAAACCATTATACAGGGATTGAAAGCAATTAGCTACGGCTGAGAGAAGGAGTTGTTGAAGCTACAAGAATAAAACTGTTCTAGCACCTGCTTGATAACTAACTGCCTGATGCCACAAGAACAAATGATTGCCCTGTTAAAGGATTTAAGAGTTAATCGCAGAAAAGCTGTGTCTTCAAACGGACAATCAATGTCACTGTAACAAGGATCAGGAAAACTACTTTTGATAAAGAGGCAAGCTGCAGACTTGATAGTTCCAGAGCAGTAACCAATATTTTGAACGAAAAAATTGAAATGATAATCAATAATGTCAGAAAATTGTATAAAAATACAACTCCAGGACTTTTCAGCAACAGAACTTCGAAGAACAACACTGCACAAGGATTGAACCCTGGACAGATCAAGAGACGGACTCTGTTGGTGCGAATTGTAGCTGAATTCCACCAGTAATAGCTGAGTCAGGTTGTGAGGCTTAACTTGCTTACTTGAAGGGTCTTATTTGGTTGTTACATGCAATAAAGTTCAAGTCATTGTTTCAGTATTAGATTATCTGTGAGATGTCTTAGTAAGTAACCAAATTAAAGGTAGCTTGGGGTAATTTACCCAACACTACTCAATGTTATAGAAAATCTTATCGTGTTAGGGATCTATCATAAAATGCAAGCACAATACCTGACGTAGAGCCTGATGCATTTACAGGATTCCTGGGATTAATAAGAGGGGAGTCTCCAGAAGGTTGGTTCCCTTCCATTTCAACCCCTGGTACCTAGATTTGAATGAAACAAAATATAATGCTGCTTTAAATGTTATGATAATGGACAAGCAAGAATCAGTTCTCATTTCCTTTGTGTAAATATGAAATTCAAAAACTAAAATCCAGAGCTACGTATTAAGACCTATTAGTGCTATAGTTTTCATGTATGCATCAATTTCAAGATTAAGCTTTTGTGTATAGAGTGTTCTTTGTATAAAACAAAAGAACTTACCAAATCCAAAGTAAAACTAGCATGTCAGGGGAAATAAGAACAGGAGACTTTGAAAAACAGCAGAAATAATAGGCAATTTTTTACCTGCTAAATAGAGTGGTTTGGGTGGGGGCAGCTGCAGGGCGTTAATCAATATGGCTTTAACAGACAGTTCATGAGTTTCCTAAGCGACATTGAACTTTTTGGGTCTACCAGCATGGCAGACACTCATTGAACAATGAACCTGGCAAGCTGTGAAGCCTTAAGAGATAGAAATTCCAAGGTGAGTGGCCAGTCTGTGAAAGATTTGTGCTGGCTAGATTTGACTTGAAAGCCTGAGTTCATGTTTTCAGTATCATTTAAGTGGAGACAGTGGTTTTGCTGCTGAACCAATAAGCGATAGGGCCAGACCAACACTCTGGGAACATAAGCTCAAATCTCAAAAGTGGATGGAGTTTTACAAGTCAGTGATAGCTGTCAGGGTTAACATTCCACCAGCTGATACTGATACCCTGCTGCTGGTGCTTTTCTTGTTGATCCTGGTGTTGCAACTCTTGGTGTTGATAAAAACCAAAAGAACTGCAGATGCTGTAAATCAGAAACAAACACAGAAATTGCTGGAAAAGCTCAGCAAGTCTGACAGCATCTGTGAAGAGAAATCAGAGTTAACATTTCATATGTCCAATGACCCTTCCTCAGAACTGGATCCTTCTGAGGAAGGGTCACCAGACCCAAAGCATTAACTCTGATTTCTTTACCAGCAATTTCTTGGTGTTGATATCTGCTTTCCTATTGCCCGCCATCACTTATGCAGTATTAGCCTGGACCTCCGATGAAGAGCAACAGGCACAGTCACAAGGTGTTGCAGCACCAGGAGCATCAAGAAAAGCACCAGGAGCAGAACATCAACAGCAGCATCTCCACACACTCCTGCTACTCTGCATTTTGAAACAAAGAACAGAAAATCTCAACTTGAAAGTGGGAACAACATCAGCAGAAGGTGAATTTCCTGAACTCCATGGAGTAACAGAGCCTCATGAGGCTCAGGCTTTCACAGCAGATCAAAGTTGACAACTGGAGTCTCCTGGAATAAGACCTCTTTCCAAGAGGGCTAGACTGGCACACAAGGCCAACTGACATCGAGGTCACCATGGCCCTGAATGTTTTTACTTCCAGTTCCTTCCAGAGATCTGCTAGTGGGGTCTACAGAGTCTCTCAAGTGCATCTCCCAAATCACTAAGCCTGAAACTTATGTTCACATTGGCACAGTGGTGTCAGTCTGACATAAGAGGGTAATAAAAACAGAAAATGCTGGAAATACTCAGCAGGTCCAGTAGTACCAGCAGAGAAAGAAACAAAGTACTATTTCAGCTCAACGACTTTTCATCAGAATATCAATTGCAAGCATTGAACAAAAACAGGAGTTGCTGGAAAGGCCCAGCAGGTCTGGCAGCATCTGTGAAGAAAAAATCAGAGTGAACATTTTGGGTCCCATTGACCACCGTTCTGAGGAAGGGTCACTGGACCCAAAACATTAACTCTGGTTTTTTACTTCACAGATGCTGCCAGGCCTGCTGAGCTTTTCCAGCAACTTCTGCTTTTGTTCCTGATTTACAGCATCTGCAGTTCTTTTGGTTTTTAATCGCAAGCATGGCCCAAATTCTCCAGTCAAGTTAAGAACCTCTGTTTTCAACCATGATCAGAGAAAAAGCTACCCATTTAATTTGCTCCAATTTTCGTGGTTGATCCTCCAATAGAGGATTCTGCAGAACTCACTCATCGCAGGAAACCTCAGTCCATAAGCCACACCAATTTTTAATAGCACAACATGGATATTCTGGTAAGTAAGAGCTGAAATGTCCCGATGTATTATTTAAAGAGTGTACAAGTGAATGAGTAATTGTACAGCTAATAATCTGGGTAGCCTACAGGAGATAAATAGTTAAGGAGGTGCAATAGGTGAGGTAAACAAGTTAAGGGGTAGAGTGGGTAATTATATTGGGTCACGAGGGAATGTCAGGTTGCTGGTAGGAGCTAGTCAGGTTGGGGAGTCAGTTGAACAGTTACCCAGGAGTTCAACTAGGATTTTTCTGCCTAGTATCTCCTGGGTAACAATCCAGGTAATTAAGTTGAAACTGATTAAAGACTCCCGACTCTAGTTCAGAGTCAGAAACCTTTAGAGGATCCAAGCGAGCAGGGGAATTGCCCAGTGGAAGCTTAATATCATTGAGTCATTATGTCGGAATTCTGTGGGATCCCAACAGGCTGCCGACTAATCAAGAGACTGGAAGATCTGGGCCAGGAATTTGGTTTCTCTCTCCACAGATGCTGTCTGGCTTGCTGTGTACTTCTAGCATTTTCAGGTTTTACTTCAGATCTCCAGTGTCTGCATTGTTTTATGTTTGTATTAGACATGGGATGGGGTGGAAGGAACAGTTTTGCTACAGTAGCTAGGTTTCCACAGGAACGGAGAGATCTACAAATCAAGGCACTCTCAGAGCAGTCTTCATCAGTCACAAGAATTTTCAATCCCTCAATGTTGAGACAGTCCGATACCATTACAAGGTGGTCAGGAACACCTTTGCTAAATATCCAGAGAATTGTAACCACTCATTCTGTAGTAGTTACATCCTGGGTGACAAGGCCTACCATTTAAAAGTCTGACTGCTGATTCCTGTGAGGATCCCTCTCCCAGTGAACCAGAGGAGATGAATCAGTAACCACTCAACCACAGAGCTATCAGAGAACAAACCATTCAGTGATTCAAGCTGGGCTCAGGTACATTGACAGATCTGGAGGTGCCCTTCAGTACATTCCACTGAAGGCTCCAGCACAGTATGCACTGCAGTGTCCTTCACAACACTGTGCTGCAGAGAGGAGTTGCACTGCAGAAAGAGCAGAACAAGTGACATCCTCAGAGGAGGCAGATCCAGATATGGCTACCTCACCCAGCTGCACCCTCTACAATGGCCTGATCCAGGCACACTGGACTTTATCTGTATTTGTGAGGGCCTCTCATAATGCCACCAAGAACTCTATCCTCACCATTCACCCCCCAAAATACAACTCATTCCAACAGTCAACTATCAAACTATCTCTGTAATCCTTCCTCCTCAAACAATTTGATCATACCATTCATCAGAAAACTGCTGACCAAAGTGAATTCAGGATACAGTCAAATAGGGGCGAGGAGAAGTCGTTCAAATACATTGTTTCATTCATTGAAATTAGAATCTGTGAAGCACAATAGTCAAGTAAATCCCCAAGTGTAACTACGAAGTCTTTCTCATCCACTTCCTCTTACTCTTACATTTTTTATTCGTTACTCATTCACGGGATGAGGGCGTTGCTGGCCAGGCAACATTAATTGCCCGTCACTAATTGCTCAGAGGGCAGTTAAGAGTCAACCACATTGCTGTGGGTCTGGAGTCACATGTAGGCTAGACCAGGTAAGGATGGCAGTTTCCTTCCCTGAAGGACTTTAGTGAACCAGATTTTTTTCCCCCCACAGTCAACAATAGATTCATGGTTATCATTAGTCTCTTAATTCCAGATTTTAAAAAAAAATTGAATTCAAATTCCACCATCTGCCATGGCGGGATTTGAACCCAGGTACTGAGAACATTATCTGGGTTTCTGTATTAACAATCCAGCAATAATACCACTAGGCCATCACCTCCCCTGACATGGTAATAACTTGTGATTTCACTGAAGCTAAAGGCAGACTGCTCCTTCTACTCCTCTGACAAATGAGATGCCCCTGGCAGAAAGCCTCTAGGTTTTGTACTCCTGCACCAAAGACTGCCGCATGTGCCCATGCCCAAATGTAATTTAACAACTAAAATCATGAAATATGATGAGTTATAATCTTGCCTGGTCTCTTTCCCCATTTAGGTAAATGGTTTCAATGGTAAAAAAAACACATTGATCGTTAAGGAGAAGTACTCTGCAGGAAATTGTACATCCAGCCCATGAATAGATAGCATCATGTAGCAGGGGAGCCTGAGATAAAATGGGTGCTGACAATGAGCAATTTCACTGAGCAGTAATGTATTATTGTATGTAAACAGAAAAAAAAATTGACAGGTACTCACCATTGTACACAAGTTGCAGACTGGTGAACTTGGAAATAAATTCCCAAAAGTGAAAAAACTGTGTAGACTTATCCTATAAATTTGTCTGCAAGCATCCAATATAGTTTGAACAACAGTAATGTGAGCTTTATTTGACTGTATGATATAGGGACATTTTACAAATAATGATGAAGTGATGTTTTATGACTTCAGCTATGATGGCACAGTAGTACCAGGCAGCCAATCAGCTCACAGATATCATGCTGGGCTGTAACAGATTAGCAGTCACCACTAACTTTTCTGATCAACTGAACCACTGATGCAACTAAAATAAATTATACATGCTCTGGTAAATCTGAAGAGTACTGCACAGCAAGACAATTACACAGCATGCTCTCAAACCTTAAATATTAAACTCAGACATCAGCTTTTCTGCCTGAGATTAGTTCTCAATGTGTCACCACCTGACTGCACCCTCAAAATTAAACCATTTATTTGTATACATCACCAGTAAAATAAAGGGTCTATAAGCAATTGACTTTATTCTAACTTGGGTTACTTATTAACACCAAATTATTGAATTGAAAGCACAGTTGGTTTGCCAGAATATACAGGACCAAGTGAATAGTCATTGTCTTTCAAATACTGTATTAGCTACAGGTGACAAGCTTTCATTTAAACATCACAAAACATTCACCAAATATACCAAATGGAAGAAGGGAACAGAA